GGTCCACTGGTGGAACCTCTTCTAACCGTAGATTTGACGAACCGGTTCTACCGAATAGGTGCGAACTGGTAGGAACCTACCTCTGGAATGTTGTCATCAGTATGTTTGAGATACCATGAATACAGGCAAAATTATTCAGTTTAACTATAGTGAATCGGAGGCAATATACTTACAGCATCAATTTGTTCCAATGAAATTTTCCCCGCTGCTTTTTCAATATTATAATCTGGACCAACATATGCATGGCTATGATGTGGAAAAAGAAGAAAAGAAATAAATGTTATTTGTTGAATTTAAAAGGGCATTTTTGTTGTTACCACGAGAATGAAAGGCCAAATATTTTTGTTTACATAAATTTTAAAAATATTTCAAAACTAGTCTTCAAGAAATAAATATGACTTTAAAATAATTCTTTCACCTTGGAGAAATTAAGACTTTTTCTTGATATAAAACATTTCTGATTACCAGAATAATTTATTTAATAATTAATAATTTATTTTAGAGTTCAAGTAGAAGCAGATTATTTGAACTGTGTTGAATGATTTGAAAACAATTGTTAAATATTTTTTTGGGTAAAATTCAGGTATAACCTCTCAGATGTTTCTAATTAAGGGAGCCATAGAATAATAATATTTTCTCAAATTTTTAAATTGATTATATTACTTAGCAATATGAGGAACTAAAACACAAAGACAAATGATATGCAGCTATAGTTCCATTATTACATTTTTCAAAAGGTTTTGAATAGAGGGGGACATAAACCCCCTTTTTCAAGGGCAAAATATAATTTTGCAAATGTGAGCCAACGATTACCTAAGGGAGAAGTCTGAAGTGTTGACTGGAAACAGATGTTGTATGTCAACAATATTGCTAATTATCTGCCATGGCACATTCATTATGTAAAAACACTCAAATTACTTCCTCGTTATGGATACAAGTATTGAAATAGTATCTTTGAAGATAAATACAATGAATCCATTGCCAAATTAACCATTCGTAAATGAAAAGCTTATTAATATCTGATTTGTTCTTTTTTTTCATTTAAAACATTTTTATTGCCTTCCCCAGTAAATTCCATGCTTTGCATAGTCTAAAGAACAGCAGCGTGCTCTTCTGTAGATGAGCTCCTCACGCACCCTGTCCCCAGGATTAGATTATTCCGCAGGCAGAGAAGTTGGACGTAGTTATGGGAAGAAGTAAAAGAATCCCATTCTGCCTTTGGGACAGAACATAAGAACAATCGATCCATTAGGCACAAGATCAGAGATGGAGAACCTTTTTTGGCTNTGGTCATTAGGGCAGAGAACCAGTTGTTAAATTATTTGAATCCCACCACTGATTCCTCCCCACCCCACCCCCTTGCTTTTTTAGTCAAAAGAAATTAGGGAGGGTGCCTTCTGAGATGTTTGCTATGTCCACATTTCTTCTGCAAACTGAGCTGTGTCTTATCTGACTGTTGTCCAGTCTGTGGCTCTTCCTCCTGTCTCCTAAGTCGTTCCCCTGCACCACTATAGTGCCAAAGAGAATCTGCCCTGGCTGACCTCCTTCTCTGCTTCTCCACAGGTGAAGTCTTTGGCGGAATCGATTGATGAAGCCTTAAACTGCCACCCACTTGGCCAGGAGGGAGGACCTGTTGGCCCCACTTTGGAAAAAAGTGAATCCAAGGAGCAGCAGGGTGACAGTGCTGCCACTTCATTCAGTGATGTCACACTCTATCTGGACGAAGGCGCTCCCACGTCACCCCTCTCTCTGGAGTGCCCCCCCAGCACTGAGCCCCCAGAGCCTGCTCCGGGAGTGCCCCTCCCACCACCCCCACGGCCGGAGTACTGGGGGGCGCCCCAGCGGGAGGACAGCCGGGAGAATGGGGGCGGGAGCCGGCGCAGCACACCTTGCCTGGAATGCCGGGACTACCGCCTTCGGGGCGCTCACTTGCCCTTGCTCACAATTGAGCCTCCCAGTGACAGCTCAGTGGATCTGAGCGACCGTTCTGATCGGGGTTCAGTCAATCGGGGGCTCATGTATGAGCAAGATGGCTGCAGCCCCCATGGCACCCTCAAACATCCTGGAGGGCCTGCACGCTCCCCACACCCACACCGTCATTATCACCCTGAGAAAAGCCAGCCTCCTCCACCTTTGCCCATCCCACCCCCTCAGGCCCCAAGTCGCCTGCCTCCACCTCCTCCGCCGGACAACTCCGATGGCGACAACGACAGCCTCAACAGCACCACCAACTCCAACGAGACCATCAACTGCAGCTCAGGATCCTCCTCACGGGACAGCCTGCGCGACCCACCTCCACCTGCCCCAGCCACCGCCACGACTGTTGGGGGCCCCTGCAAGCAGACCTACCAGCGGGAGACGCGGCACAGCTGGGATTCTCCTGCCTTCAACAACGACGTGGTGCAGCGCCGCCAGTACCGCATCGGCCTCAACCTTTTCAACAAGTATGACTAGTGCTGTCAGAGCGCCATGGGGGGAACAGTGGATTAAGCATGTTCAGCAGAAGGCTGGGTTAGGATCCAGGGCTGGCCTGGCTTTACAGGCCTGATCCAGTTGGATTTAGCGTGGGAGGGTGGGTGATTGTGAGTGATTTCTTGACTTGAGAACAGAGGTGCTGGGTCAGCTTTGAATGTTTTTTCACTTTTTTTTCCTACTTACATCTCTCATCTTTTCTCTGAGGGCTCCAAGCGACATGCTGCATATATGGCTAATTTCATCTCCTGTAGATTGGAATGAAAAAGAATGACTGGCCAGTGAGCTCAAGGGTCAAGGGGAGACTTGAATTTGGATCTCCCTGATGCAAACCCAGTCTTTATCTCCAAGGATGCATTGGATATATCCCCATGTCCAACTGCCTTATAAAATCGCTATGGCATTCTCTTTGGAGAAAGGCCATTTGACCGAGGTCCTTCCACCTATTGTAACTTCCAAACCGCTCTCCAAAATATAGGCAATATGGGGAAGAATCTGTACTTTCTACAGTCTGGATCACCAATGGAGTGTTTGAGTAGCGCACAAAGAGCAGATTTTAGTGGTCTGGGCATCTTCTGGATGAAATACAGCCTACAAGAAATAAACAGGTCATATTATAGAATAACGTCTGCTGGTAAAATTGGGATATTTTATGACAGTCCTTGAAAACACGGTGCCCACAGTATATGTTGGGCAAGAATTTTTATTCTTCACACATGCAGCCTTCTGTTTCTGAAGGGTTTCCTAGAGTCACCCAGTAGACAGTCTGAAGGAGGGTTATTTTAGCCACTGGATTTTAATTTTAATTGAAATTCTGGTTTCCCAAAATCTGATTCGCTTTCCTTCTAACATAGTTGTGAGTTAGCATCTCTCGTCCCCAAAGTTTGTAACATGAGATCTTAATCCTAAATAGAGTATATAGCTCCTCTTTACCCATTTCTACTGCTGCCTTTTGCTACCTTAATAAAAATAAATAACACGGGTTGTGCCCCTGTGCCCGATGTACCTAACTTAAGTAAGTGAATTTTTTCCAGCCTGATGGTGTGAAATAAATGATGATGGGAGAGTTTTATTTTTTTTAAAGGACAGGATCGTTGCCAGTCTGAAGGTGGAGATCTCACCTAATACCTTTCTGTGCCCCTTTGGCTTGGCTTTTTTCCAACCTCTCAATTTGGGTGGTTGCTCCCTATGGTGTCTATCACGTCTTTAGGTCAAAGCAAAAGAGATGGCGGAAGGCTTCGGTTTCTAGCTTCCTCTGGTTCTTAGAGCTTTAATTGCTCCTGAGCCAGACAGCATCTTTTTCACTGGCAGGAAGCAGGCTCTTGTGGTGGTGGTGGTGGGGGGGGGGGCTGGGAAGCAGCCGTCACATCATATTAACCAGCTGGGATCATGACTCATGTTGAAGCCTGGGGCATTGTGCCAGGGTAGGAGATCTCTGTGCCCTTCCTCCTGGAGGCGATCCTTGAGCATTTATTTCTGTGTGTGCCTCCTTCAATCTGGCAAATTGAGGAATTAGTCTGGTCCATGATAGGGCCGTTTGGTACCAAAGGCAGGAAAACCAAACCTCCCCAAGACTTATACGCAGATTAATAGATGTGGACAACACTCTTTGGGGAAGTTCTCTGCTCTCAAACCCGCAATCATGAGCACAAATCTTAAGCTCACTGCCTCCTGTTGCTACCTCTTTCAGCTCAGAGAATTATGTTCCCTGTTTTGGAGTTGGAAGGTTTAACAGCATTGAGTTGGACATGCAATCCCTAGAACACCTTTTAATTCAATGCCTCATTTTTGTCCCTTAAAATATTGCGTTCTGGGCAATCGGATAAAGAATCTGATAAGATACGGCTTGGTGACGCTTGACTGCTTTCCACTTATTTTCTTGTGGATCCAGAAATTCCTTGCCTGCCCCTGTCCCCCCAACCCCCCAAATCCCCTCTTTTCAACAACCTCAAGCATTGTTTTGGAGAAACAGAGAATGAAAAGGGTGTTGCCTGACACCTTGTGGCTGTAAAGGAGCTAGGTGTAGGAGGCAGAATTCACTTCCGGAAGAATAGACTTTAAAAAGATGTTGAATATTTCTGCCCCCTTCAGTGGTCCTCATCAGCTAAGTTACTGAGGATTCCAGATATCAGATCAACGTTTTTGCTAAAGCAAGGATGAACAACTTGCCCCCCCCTCAAAAAATCCAATTTTTCCAAGCCTCCCCTCTCCTTTTCTATAGGATCACACTGTGAATATTCAGTGGCAAAAATATGACAAAAAGACTTCTAGTCTTTCCTTCCTTACTATTTAAATCTTTAGAAAAGCAATCTCTCACCCCAAGTGGAAAAGGTGTTTTTTTTTAAAGAATGGCCCTACTTTCTCAAGTGACATCATTAATTATACTAAAAAAAATAACACCACCCTATCTATCTAGCTCAGTGTTTCTCAACCTTGGCAACTTGAAGTTGTCTGGACTTCAACTCCCAGAATTCCCCAGCCAGCGAATGCTGGCTGGGGAATTCTGGGAGTTNGCTCCCTGGTTTGTTGGTTGAAATGTTACAATCCTAATGCTTAGCTCTTATTAGCAGCAGGAATAATTGTTTAGTATATACAGAGACAAGCTACGAAAAATGGGTCATGACTTAGCAAATCCCTCGTTGGAATTTCACCTCTACTCTGAAATCCTATTTTACTGACTCCTCCTAGAAATCACAACTAATTTATACACAGTAGATACTCCACGCCGTATTTCTCTTGTGGCATGCAAAGGTACAGGGATAACCAACCAAGTCAAATAATTAACACACTTTGGTATTATTAAAATTATGTTTACAGAACAGTTAATAATCTGAGTTCCTTTTATTACCGTTAGTGTTTGTTTCTGTGGTTTCACCATGTTAGAACCTCTTCATGCTCTTTTTGTACCATTTTTGGGTTGCAGAAACCCAGGTAAACATTAAACGGGAAAGAAGACTTATATCCAGGGGTTGTCTGGGTTTTGCAGCCCAGACAAAGTAGGCTTAATATCTGTGCAAGTGCGTCTAAGGATTCCTTGGTACAGAAAACAGCCTCTCTTGAGCCTCATTTAAAAAGCATTGATCTTTAGCCTTGGCAAATAAGTAATATGATAGACAACATTTCTGACAAGACAACAAAGAGATGATGATGGGGTCTGATGTTTCTCCTGCAAAAGGGACTTCTCATATAATGCATAACCACTACTTTATGGTAACCTATGGATCTGGAAACAGTCTCTACTCACTCCAAGTCATAGACTGTTCTCAAGCCTGTAATACTGTGTACCAAATAAGTAAGATCAGGTAAATTCAAAGGTGCCCTTTATGTTTCTGAATATCTGAATGGAAAATATTTCCATTCTCACTTCATCTTATTATGTAATGAAACTTAAAAGGGCTCCACATTAGCTTCTTTCTCTTGGGTTGCCATTGAGTTTCACAGACTTACCGTATTTTTCAGAGTATAAGATGCACCGGAGTATAAAACGTACCAAGGTTTTGAAGAGGCAATTTTTTTAAAAAAGTAGGTAGGTAGATAGAGGGAGAGAGACAAAGTGACGGAGAGAGAGAGAAATACAGTAGGTAGGTAGGGAGAGGGAGAGAGAGAGAGAGAGAGAGAGAAATACAGTAGGTAGGTAGGGAGAGAGAGAGTAGGTAGGTAGGTAGATAGAGGGGGGGAGAGAGAGGGAGAGAGAGAGAAATACAGTAGGTAGGTAGGGAGAGAGAGTAGGTAGGTAGATAGATAGAGGGAGAGAGAGAGAAATACAGTAGGTAGGTAGGGAGAAGAGAGAGTAGGTAGGTAGGTAGGTAGATAGAGGGGGAGAGAGGGAGAGAGAGAGAAATACAGTAAGTAGGTAGGGAAAGAGAGTAGGTAGGTAGATAGATAGAGNCAACTCCCAGAATTCCCCAGCCAGCGAATGCTGGCTGGGGAATTCTGGGAGTTCAAGTCCAGACATCTTCAAGTTGCCAAGGTTGAGAAACACTGATCTAGCTATTTGAACAGTCCATTTATTTGAAATATTAACATTCTTCTCTTTGGCCCAAGTCAGAGGAGGCAACTTGGTGACCTCCATATATTCTGGATTTTAGATCCCATATTCTCCAACCAGATGGCTAGTAGCAGCATCTGGAAGAGAGTAGGTGTAAATGGTATGACTTATTCTCAGGTCATCTGCACCTTCTTCTCAGCTCTTAGTTATACCTTGTGTAAGTAAGCACACCTGAGGCTCATCAGTCTGTTGCCAACTATGCCAATCAAACCTCATATGTCAGCTTTGGTGGGCCTTTCTGCTTTGTTGCTGCTTTAAAGGAGGAATATCTGATTCTACATTATCACATTTTAAATCTAGTTCGGCCTTGGATCCGATAATGTGACTGATGGAATTCAGGGAAGGGATGAAAATGAATGAAAACCCATTCTACAATGTTTAGCAAACTGCAATAAATATAACTAAACGTTGCATAACTAAGGGCATTTCCATTAGCTTTCTTTCGTGAAAAGATGACACAAGCTAGATCAGGTTGGGCATTCAGGACACTTTCATAATGAATATCTAGAATTTTAATGTACAGAAGAGACAAAGTTAGAGTGCTTTTTTTGGAAACAGAAGCTTATTTGGAAAAGAGTCAGTGTTTCTTGTCTAATAAAAGAGGTAGGAGACGAAAACGATTTCAGGCAAGCATGAATACAGGCTTCTTCTCATCCCATTGGCAGGAAACCAGAAAAGGGGATCCAGTATTTAATCGAGAGAGGCTTCTTGTCGGATACGCCGGTGGGCGTGGCCCGGTTTATCCTGGAGCGGAAGGGGCTAAGCCGGCAGATGATTGGAGAATTTCTTGGCAACCGGCAGAAACAATTCAACCGAGATGTACTCGAGTAAGGAGATCTATACATTTTTCCTTCCCATTGTCATAATTTTGCCTTTTGCAGTCCACCCAATCCCTAAGCCAGTGGTGGGTTTCAAAAATTGTTCGAACCTACTCTGTGGGTGTGGCCTCCTTT